GTTGCTCACACCAAAGTCTGCGATCTTGACGTGACCGTCCTCCCCAAGTAGCAGGTTGGAGGGTTTGATGTCCCTGTGGATGATCTTGTGGTAGTGCACTGGACAATGCAGAAAATGCAAAGAAGTCATGCTGATTGTCTGCTGACAGAAATACCAGCTACCATTGCAATGTAAAGGACAAACACAATTTTCTTTTTAAACAAATTAGGAGTCCTTACTTACTACTAAGTCATTACTTTCTGTATGTTTAAGGCACCAAAGTTGCACAGAAAAAGCCTCAATGTGTAATGGGAACTTTAAAAATCAAAGGTTATAAGTATATTAAATGCTATGATTCTCCATTAAATATTATTAAATCCTAACATACAGTACTCTATCCCCAGGACGACGTCTGAAGTAAAAGCGAGCCTGCTCCTCTGTGAGAGGGTCGTCTGTAGGCACCTCCATCACCGGACTGACCGACACGAGAAAAGGAGAAAGGTAGGAAAAGGTAAAGTATATTATAATTACCTAATGGGCCAATTTAAATGTGCAAACTACCACAGTTTGGGAATGTGACACATTACATAAATTAACAAAAACATACCCTTTCTCCATCAATTCGAAGGCTTGAGGACAAATTTTGATTTTAATGACTCCTCCATTTTATAATGACACATAAGTAGCTAAATTCAGTCACTGCAAAAGGGATGAATGAATCCGTACCCATATGAAGGCCATCTTCAGCAGGATCATCAAGCACCTGCAAGAGGCATTAAATTCAGTCTTATATTGTGCACTGTTTCACACAAATATAAAATAAGTCCAGTTATTCAATCTACAGGAATTATCATTATAGTACTTTGATGGGTTTTTAATAACTCTACATCACCCACACAGGTGACTTCACTTATTTTGGCTGATTAGCCCTCCCCTCATGACAGTTTGGGCATGTTCAGATTATGCTTGATTGGCGTCTGTCTCCTGTTGTCCACCTGTACCCTTCATTATTCTTATTGATATATTTGGTGACAACTTGTAATTCCCAGTAAAGCTTCACCACCAGCAATCTGAGCAGAGGCATAATTAGCTACGCTAATAATAAAAACAGCTGTGGGGGTGTGCAAGAGCTTTAATTCATTTTCTTTTAACATCTCTTTGTTGTATTCTTTTGCTTTTGTGCTGCATACAGACTGACACTAAACTATCACAACATCCCATCCCCACATCCTTACACAAACATGCCAAACTCCAGCTTCACAGCAGGTGAGTCATCTGACTGACCTCCACCAGTTTAACAACATTTGGATGGTCCAGCTTCTTCAGGATGGCAATCTCCTTGTACACTCTCTCCAGAGGCAACATGGCTTTAGGGAACGCATCCTGCGTGAGTTTGACCCTTGAGGAGGCAGGCGGCCTGGAATAATAACACACACAGACAAAAACATATCAGCACCAGCCCCAGATGAACATTGGAAAATGTGAAAACACTAGATATTTAGATGTTGTTTGAGATGGAGATCTTCACTCACGCGGGAATCCACACAGCCTCATCAGCCTCTTCTTGGAAACAACTTTCATTGCCTAAATGAATGAGATAAAGCAGTATACAGTAAACTGACATGTAAACACTTTAATAATAAATGCGCAATTTAGGAGCTTAAACTTACATAGTACTGTTCAGAATCTTCATTATAAGCTAGTTTTACCACTCCATAAGAACCCTAGGGTGTAAAAATAAAAAAGCTTTATAGATGCATCACTTCTGTTTCACCTTGCTCATTGGATGTAGGCTACTGTAATGGTAATCACCTTTCCAATCTCTTTATTCAATTTATACTGGTTGAGCTGGACACAGTCCTGTAGAAAATAAAAATAAAATGCAATCAGTAAAGGATCTCATAATAACATGTTGAATTAAGTCAAAATATTCAACTAATTTCTGTAGCACAAGTCTCCTCACATCGGCGCCTGTAATGGACACACGTTTGGTTTCGATGGTGGGCTGTCGGGAAATGCGGCTCCCCCTCTCCTGCAGCGACATCTTCCTGTGAGAGTTTGTGGTCCTCGGAGTAACGGACCTGTAGCCATTAGGAGGGGTCATGCGGTTTGCGGCCACGTTCATGGCTGCCACCAAGTCTGCCAGCTCGCCGTTGTCCCCCGAGTCCGGCTCTGCCCTGCAGACCGTGTCGGAGCTCATGGTGGTTAGTTCTGGTTCACGCACAGCTGAGGAGGCTCGGCAGAAGCACCAGAGGATGCATCACTGCGCTGAAAGGTGTAGAGGTGCAGAAGTGGACAGACGTGAAATCACACACACTGCCAAATTACCAAGGGCATCACAGTATGGGTTTGCAAAGACTTGAAACGCCCTTGACTGAGCTGACTGTTTTTGGGTCAAACACACGTTATTGTCGTGTGGTAATGCAAGCACTTGACATGCTTGTGGGGAAACTCCAAAATACACACTCTCAAAACTGGGACTCACCCTGAGTATCAGGTTTATTGCCAAGTCACATACAAGTAATTTGGTATTTTGATGCACAACATTAGACATAGTAAATGAAAATAGCTGTACTGTGTTTAAAATACCTTTAAAATGCAGCTAACCACATTCAAATGTTCCTTTTCGGAAAGTCAGCTTATTGCATCATGTTGATGCAGAGCTTTTTAACAGCCTCTCAACATTGTAGATGTCTAGCTCCACTGAATGCATCCACACTGAACAGTTTTCGAAAACACTGCCTTCAATTGTATTACAGAAATGTAACAGACAAATCCAGTATTTTAAAGGAGTGTGGAAATTATTTAACTTAACATTCTCAGTTCGATGGGTTAAGTTTTAACTCTCTGCAAGCTGATCTTCACAACATACTGGCATGAATGGAAAGAAATTATGCTTTGTAGAGAGTCGTTTGCAGAGCAGAGTATAATGAGTTTGTAGATAATTGGTAGAAACATATTAACCACAGCTGGTAAGGCAAACGTTCTCTTAAATTCTAGTATTGACTTTCTCCTTTTGAACTTAATACTTTAATTACAGTGCAATAAATGTGCCAGCAATATAGTATAAGCTTACTCACAGATGCATTTCAGAAGTGCTTTAATCGCTTTGCCTTGAATGAATATAATAATAATAATAATAATAATATATAATAATAATAATAAGCTTAAGCTCCAGTCTTAATTAGAACTGCTATGTAACCTTTCTTTTTAAATAGTGGTATTAGAAGTAGTCACTTGTTGCACCCTACACAATGATATTTGTGTGAATTGTTGTGTTTTCATCAACATGTGAGACTCTTAGTGCCCAAACTGCAGCTTGAAACCTAAAAAACAGGCTGCTGTCAAGCCAGACTACAGTTTTCTTGAATTTCAGCAGATGGCACAAACTGCAGAAAAGACTTAAAGGGGCAACATTAAAAATAAAAACACAGGAAATGAGAACTCTCAGTCTCTGACAACAGTGCAGCAGCAGATAAGAGTCAACTCCTTATTAGGGCGACTCATTGTTGCCTAAAATACAGTACGGAGAACTGAAAAGCTTCTTATGTAAGAAGGTAGAGGGCTTTAACAGGCATGTCAAATCACAATACTTACACACTTAACACACAAGACTGCTACAGTAGGTGCTCACATTTAAAAACAAATATATGCCTTTGCAACATGTAAAGTTAAATATGTTTATAAGAAATGATAAACAAAAGTTACTGTGTGTAGCAAATGGCTTATACACATCTAAATCCCATTTAACATATGACACAATAAAATACTGTGTAAGATAGAAAATGAGGTAAATGGTTTACTTTACTCACACAGAGGAGGTGTCCTGTGTTGACGGCTGTTGTGCTTAATCTGCATGTCCTCCTGCTGCTCTCAGAAGGGAGAAGTCCTCTGTGTCTAAGTGCAGGCCTTTCACTGACTCTGAGCAGGGTGTGAGCTCTGTAGCGCTCGTCTTAAGGATTAACTGAGTTATTCTGAGGCAGTGGTCACCTGAAGAGTACGCCGTGGTGACATCAGGAGACACACATGGCGATACACATGGCCAGTATTCTTTCTTTTTAATTTAATGACTGTATTTCATGTATATTCTGATATGATTAACCATATCCCATACCCAAAGTCTGGGTTAGTTTCAATGGGGTGAAATGTAACATTATGTAATAAGGAATATGAGAAAGAAAGAAAAAAAGATATATATATAAGTTATTGAAAATTCAAAGAAAACATAGCCTATAAATGCAACTAAACATTTTCTTGGAGTAGGTTGTAAGGTTCATTGCTGTTACACCTTACAGCTTACAGCTAATACATACATACACAACTTGCATGAAAGATATCTTCATAGACACACACAAAGCAACAGTCTGTCTTACAGTCCCTGTTAGATTTTGGGGACTTCTGGAGGCCTAAGTTCTCCTCTGTCCTCAGTTGACTCAAATGTGTAAAAATGGCGCCTGTTGTTCTGACTTTATCTGAGAATGACACTTAAAATTAACCTGAGGGAATCAAAATCAAATAAAAAAATGAGTTTGTAGGTCAATATATTGACATTCATTGATCAATTCAAGAAGGAATTACACTCTGTTATAATTTATTTCTAGACTGTGCAGGTCCTCTTGTAGGCTACAGCAGACACTATTGTTCCCACAATCCTACCATTAAATGAGGGTTTCAATTTGCCTGGGATTTCTGAACATTTAAGTCTAGGTAACATGTGACCAAACTGTCATGGTCGTACGACTGCAGGCAATGGCACTGTGGTAATGCCATTAATTGATAGCCTACCTACTAATTAGCCCGTTAGGTATATTAGGCTATAAAAGCAAAAAACGTTCATATGAATTCATTTATCAATATAGCTGCAGAATATCGTCATCTTAATTTTCTTACCAGAAAATACACTATAAACATGAAACCTAACAGTAGCCCAGTATTGCCATGCATAGCCTATAGTCGTGTAACTTTCCCGACAGTCCCTGAATGCAGCATTAACAGCTCACATTGCGCCCCAGCAGGAAGCACCGGGAACAAACAGGTACCAAACTTTTTTGTGAATGGCCGTCATGTCTCTGTCGGTGCAGTTTGGTGCTCTGAGAACCAGGGAGCTGCGAAACCTGCTGCAAGATGAAGACAAAATAAATCATATCATCAGGTGTAGTGAGAAGGTGAGTATCTGACAGTGGGAATTAAAAAATAAATAGCCTATATAAGCTAAGTCAGATTGCTCACTAAGTGATGGTCCATTTAAATTCATTTTTGAAAGAGAAAAACAATGTTTGCATATATTACGTTGATGACATTACTTATTCTTCTTCTAGCAAACAAAACTCTCTATGGATTCACTGCTTCTTGAATGATATGTGGTAATTTGCAGTTCCAGGGGCTGCAGAGGGCTGCAGAGAAGAGGCTGCTTTCAAATCAAAAAATGGCAAAAGTCAGTCTTTCTCAAAAAACTCAATTTAGAGACGCTAAGTTGCTACTTGCAATGAAGTACAAGGAACTGGAAAAACTTAGAAGCATCATCCAGGCCAAACAAGAACAACTTGGTAAGTTTTGAAATGTATTCTGTATTTAATCTGGCTACCTTATGTATCTGCATTGCCATTTCCTACATTTGCTGATTTTTATTGTTATGTTTTGTAGTAGGAAAGCACAGTGTCCATTATTATCAGCAGTGCCTCCTGAAGAAGATAAATCGTGCAGAGGAGGAGTGTGAGGTAAGTATTCATTTCTTTTAGTTTGATTTCATATATCATATATCAGCCTTTGACATATTTCCTTTTATAAAGAGTGTTAAAATAAAACACTATATTGTTAATAATTTGCTTTAATAAACATTAGATAATGAGATAGTGCTTAACAACTGATCTGGTTGTAATACATCTAAAAGATCTGAAGCAAATAACCCTGCAAGTATTTTTTTTCATACAGCCTTTGGCAAAACAGTATTTAAGTGGTGAACAAGAACAAATATCTGGAGAAAAGCAGATAGATAATACTTGTATTTGTAGTTTTTGAACATTTAAGAAAGCCAATTAAAATGCATGCTGTTGTAGAACAAAGGGGATGTCTAATCTGGTGTAACACAACATCCATTGTGTGTGTGTTTGCAAATAGTGGGATATTTCTCCCAACAGCTGCTGTTTCAGAGGTTTGCGGAGGGGAAAACACCGGTGGCAGATTTCTTGGATTCCTTTCTCTCCCTGCAAAAACTCCAACACATCAGGTTAGTCCTGGTGAAGAAACTCCAGGAAATTACAGAACTCAGATCAACACAAAGGATCAGTGAGATAAACCCCGAAACTCAGCATTTCTTAGCAGGTTTTCCTGAGCAGATCCGTAACACATGCCTCCCAGTCTGCGGCCTAACCACAGCTGTCATCTTACCTACCTGCTGCCACCCTACGTTCCTGCTGCCCTTTGGCACCCATGCAAACACTGTCCATTGTCTACAGCATTTGCCATTTCGTCATGATTACAATGAGTCCCTGCTTGCAAGAGTGCATGGACGAAGCCCCAAATGGCCAGGAAGACCCGTCCGTCTTCAGCCACTGAAGGTGCAACACAGCAGGCATCAACAAGCACCACAATGAAGTCTACTCCAGTCTCAGATACATGTTTTTTCATTTAATGAAGGTTAACCCAGTGGGGGGGGGGGTTCCACTGCTTTAAATATTGAAAACTACACAGTAACAAAAATTTGCATTAAATGCTTCTGCTGATGCTGATCTAAGTTGCCACTTTACTGTTTTATTTAGGCAAAGTTCTTGGACGGCTGTTTGTGTTAAGACAACATTAATAAACACTGATGGAGAGAGACGTTTGGCATATTTTGTAGAGCACAGAAACATATTTGTACATCTCAAACAATGTACTGTTTTGGTACCAACATTTAGGTGGATATATATTAGATATAGAGGAAGTAAAATCAGACACCAATTCTTATTTTTATAGCCGCCTTAAGCTATGAGAAAGAACACACTGAGAGCTTTAGACATACACGTAATGATTTATATTAGATTTACATAAACCTGCCAACCTTTTTAGAATGTTTTGGCAAGTCAGGTAATATAGTCCTGAGGAGCAAGAACTCTGCAAAACCCCTGAAAAGACAAAAGTTTCAGAACACCCTTTAACTTTCATAATGTAATAATAATTTGAAGTTCAAACCACTCCAGCACCAATTCTGATGAAATACACAGAAAATCTATGGCCTATTTGCTTGTCTTGCCGACTTGGCATTGGTGATTTCCTTCATTTCCCAAATGAGACAGGTTCTGAATAAAGTAACATTTAGTATATTAAAGAAATATCTGTCATTTACTGTAACACTGAGAGTAGGACTGAACAATGTACATTTGGTCACTTAGCTGTAGTAGTATACTAGATAACATGGAATCAGCAATGCAAAGTGTATCATCAAGAGCTGCTAACAGAGATTTAGTTTTTTAAAAGGTCACAAACTTTGATCAGTTATTGCATACTCAATTAAACCCCACTTACTGGATATTCAAGAAACATACGCAAGTGGGAAAACTGCACCAATTTTAAACAGCTGAAAAGTGTCATCATGTCTGGTGAGAACATATTTGTGTTTCCTTGAGTCATAAAACAAATCAACAGAAGCAGTTCAGTGAACTTGAACTGCTCACCGACACTTGATATCGTCGATTGTTTCTGTGCAGAGACTCCTGCCAAGGTCAGCAAAGGACAAACAACACTTTATTTACTTTCAGCTCACAGTACCCCTGTTCATCCTAATATTTACATCTTTTCATAAAAGGCATAAAAGGCAAGGGCTAATGTTGTAATCAACTTGCTTAAACACTCATGAGGGTTAGCCAGAGTATGATATGGCCCAGCAGAGCACGCCATACTAATTCAACCATGGGGAAACCTCACTGGCACTACAGGAGATGAGTAGCAAGGTGGAGCACGTTCAAAGGCTTTTGTTACACCACAGACTTCAGTTACATCTTTGTCAGCAGCCTCTTTTGTCCCACAAGACTCAAATTGGGCAATTTTCTTGTCTGTCAGCTGATTGTTTTGTGCTTTTCACCTCTGTGTCTCTGCATTGTTTGATGGAGAACCTAGTTATTTTGGCAAAGAAACATATGGAGACCATGAGCTTGTGGACATTATTTGGATTTCAAATGGCTTCCAAATGATAGTAATTATTAAAAATGCCACAATAAAGCCACTGTAGTATCTGATATGCTATGAGAAGCCACACTGGATCATATTCCAAAAATATGGAAGACATATTAAAACAATACTCTTATTGTAAACACAGCTGAGTCACGTCCAAACAGCATTTCATTGGCTTTCAGTATTGAGTTGTATCTCACAGCTAGGGGGTGTTATTTCTCTTCACAATGTTCCTCTGAATGGTCTCATGTAAAGATGATTATATGGTATATATAACTGCATCTGGTAGTAGAGCAGGTATGGAGTGACTCTTGTGTTCGTTGTAATAAATGTGGGTTAATGTTGGTTGAACTTGTTTTTTGTTGTTTTGTTTTTAATTATGTCCTTTTAAACAGGCTTTAGACGAAAAAAATATTATTAGCGCATTCATACCGCAGTACTTTATGGATTATGTTTTGTGGATGTGGTTCCAGTTTCCTGCTTTTATTATCACAAATACACTTCTTATTACATATTATATAGACTTTCCAATATCTTAAAACTTTGGCAGCATAGTGTATATGACTTTGGTTCATTACTAGCTGAAAAGATAAGACCATAGACAGTATATTACTGGACGAAGCCACCCCGCTGATTTGAATGGAGAGCAGTGAAGCCAGTTTTGGACCAATAAAATACTACTAGAGGGCCACTTCCTCTTGGCACCAGTGTCTACTGCGCATGATCGCGCAGCATAACCGTGGTTTAATGACGTAGAACAACTGCAGAAACACTGTAATTCTGGTGGCTGTATAAAAGCGCCAACAAAAAGTTTCATGGCTCAGTGTGTTTGTCTGACTCGGATCGTCACTGATTAATCAGCCCACCTACGGGGGCACTGATCACCGAATATTATTTTTAGGTTGCCAAGAGTTTATAATCCAAGCAATATGGTTACATCTCTCATGTGCAACAGGGTGTCACAGGGTTTTGATGTCATTTTTGGGCCTACATGGATCCCTCCATGCAGGCTTTGGTTGGCTTCACTGTCCGATCTCTGGCTTACCCCCTTGGATAAGACTGACAGAAAGAAATAGTTCCACAGTCATAGGAGTGTTAGTCAGACCAAACAAGAGATCTGATGAAATGGGGATAGACATTTTTCACAATTTATTCTGACATTTGAAAGTGACAGTTAATTGCAACCTAAAAATTCATGTGAAGGACTGCATTTTTTCACATGATCAAAAAAGAGGAGATTCACCTGAAACCTGACATGAAATATAAAACCCAACCAAGACACTAAAAAATCTACAAAGCCAATAAGTTACTGTGCTTTACAACGGCCCTGTAAATAACTCACATCCCCATCCACACAAGATTTTACTTGGTAAATAGGCCTTTTTGAGACAGATATTTTGACATGTCATAGTAAGAAAAGCAATAATAAAATTAACAATGGCCCTGTTCAATACCAGGAGCCTGAAACTGCAGCAGCCAAATGGAATTCAGCCACCAATTTTACTGTTTACACCTGTGATTTTCTTACTGTGACATGTCAAAATGTCCTGAAAAAGGCCTTCTGTGCGTACATCAGCAAAAATTCTACATTAATCATCCCTACTGTTTTTCTTTTGAGTGACGCCTCTTTAATAAGATGCACAGTTTAATCCCCGAGGAAGAAAAATCTGGCCCAGCAGCAGGTATAACCACACAGTTGACAGACAGTTGGCTTTGCCACACCAGTAACACCACTCCGGGACCAAACCAGCTGTTAAACAGGTCAGAGCGGAGACTCCCAGAACTGCTGACATCCTATCACAGCTCTCTTAATCTGCTCGTAGCTCACAAACATCACAATGTTCCAGGAACCCAGACGAAGAAACGAGGGGATAAATCTGTAGAAAGAATCAGAAAAGTGATTTTCGTTTTAGTGATTCTGACATGCTTACTTATAAGCTAACTAGACTACATACCCTTTATAGAAAGATGTGGACCCCTCTTTAATCAGCATGGTTAAGGCACAGTTAGTAGCACCGCTGTACTGTCCAGGCTTTGAATTCATGAAGCGCGTTTTTACCACATCCACTGGAGATGCTACGATGGTGGTGCAGAAACCTGCTGCGAAGGCTGCTGTGAAGTGACACGGCATGTTGTCTGTTGGAAATAAAACATTTGCTTTGGTTATTATACTGAACAAAATTATAAATGCAACACTTATTTTTGCCTCCATTCATCATGAGCTGAACTCAAAGATCTAAGACTTTCTCTATGTACACATAAGGCCTATTTCTGTCAGATACATCTGTGGCATTGTGTTGTGTGATGGAACTGCACATTTTAGGAGAAATGCTCACTAACACAGATTTTGAAAGATTTGTGAACAATATTTTAGAGAAATAGGCCTTTTGTGTACATAGAGAAAGTCTTAGATCTTTGAGTTCAGCTCGTGATGAATGGAAGCAAGTGTTGTGTTTATAATTTTGTTCAGTGTATAAAGACCACAAAGAAGACAATGTTGACTTATATGTGAGGTGTTTGCACTTGCCTGTCATCAGGTCGTACTTCAGGATGAACTCTTTGATGATGTCATAGGTCACCAGCTCGGAGCAGTTTACGACGGCATTACGAGTTATATTTGGCAGTACACCTGAAAAGACAACAATAAAATTCAACCTGAAGAACTCCACTGATTTGGCACTGCACTCCTGAAACATAAGATAGACCATTGTGAGTCAATCAAAATTGATGCAGCAAAATCAGAGATATCATTTTTTTTATTCTATGTACTGATTTATGTACTTCTCTATTGTCAAAATCTAGTGCCTAAATTACCCACAATGCAGCTCTAACTACCCACAGTTAAAGCTAAGTTAAGCAATTGGAGAAACTAGTAAGAGACAGCTAGATTTTGAAAGCATCCAACTGAAAAATAATCCCGTCACCTCCAGTCAGGCCTCCCTCCTGTGTGGTAGAGATAGACAGGTAGGTAGACAGACAGGTAGGCTATGCTTATTAGGCTACAGTTCTGTGACAGCCAGAGTTACCAGATTTTTGTTCATTTTAGTGTCAGAGGATTTGATTTATTGAATGCTGTAGGGATATAAAGGGAATTTCAACTAATATGACAAAACATGCTTCTGAGACAAACTGCCTACTGCTTTAGGTCGGAGATTCAGCTGTTATGATAGTAGCAGCTAATGTACCCTCGAACCTCAGTCAGAAATGAGGAGCGGGATACTGAAATCTTGTAACCTCACTTCTCTCTGACTCCACACTCCTACTTGTAGTCTTCAGCCCCAACCATTGCTGATTCAAGTGACATCACTTGAGGCAATTTATCGCTTTTTAACAATTTAGTCACATAAAGAAGTAGTACTCTGCAAGACCGGCGATCAGACTTTGATGTGTAAGTTCCCCTTTAAGAATGGGTATTATTAACATATTTAAATTGTACATTTAATAAAAATAAGTAAAGCCAAGTAAGTCATGGCTTAATTTCTAAAATGTATTTACTTAAAAATCACTACACAGCTGCTTACCATTTAGAGATTATTACTGACTTTGGAATAGTAGCACCTGTCGTACAGTAAAATTAGATATGTCAGTATTTATTTTTCCATTTTTATTTACCTTTCCAGAGCCCTTTAACACCCTCAATCCTGGCAATGGTCTTGTAGGCATCAATTGTG